TCAGCCTTAACAATAGCCAAAATCAATACTGTTATAATATAATTACTGTGAGTCACATAGTAAGAGATATTTCTGGAGGCAGATTGATTTTCCAAAAATATATATGATACTGATGCTATGCTACAGCATAAAAAAAATCAACAACATATTCCATTAACACTGTATGTTGTAAAGAAAAAGAAAGAAAAAAAAGATTGACTGGTGGCAGAAGATGTTTCCTTAGCTTTATTTCAAAGTTGTGGATCACCAGATTTAAAAGCAAAAGTTTTCACTCATCCTTTTCATCATCTTTTGAAGCGAAACTGATGTTTTTACCATCAGGTATGAGAAGTTACACCGAAAATTATGCTGTGAGTCAAAAATGAACTGGATCTGTACTAGTGTGAGCCATGCTTAATTTACCCAGCAGCCGTAGCCACTTTGGTGGGAGTAAAGTTATGGGCCCTCCAGTCCTGATTAATGTAAATCATGAGTTTTGTTTCTGACACATGAATAATACAGATATTTAATTCCCCATCTTTCCTTTCCATTAAAATGTTTGCCTGGTTAGTAAGAAAGAAAGATCATCAATGGTCGTTGACCTGAACATTACTCATACTGTACGTGTACATACCGATATTGCATTCCAGAGGCCGCATACATTTTTGGAGCACAGTTTATTTAACAGGCAATATTATAATTAAGAATCAATAACACATTATTTACTGAATTAAATTTTGTAAGATAACAAAACACTCAGCTTATAGTGTAAAAAACTAATCTTTTTAACTGCTTCTTACGTGTGCATGCATGTGAACAATTTGATATTACTAGTAATTATATAATATTAAGTTATTAACAATTTGATTTATTAAATTTATTGCTATACATATGGACCATCACTAAATATATATGTGTATATACATGTATATAGTGCCATGGGATGCATTTGGAATCCTCACTTAAAAAGGCAAGATCTCAAGTTAGGGTCCAAATCGCAAGTTCAAATCACATATGAATTTTTCAAATTGACAAATAGCTTTACCAGATTGCTGATGCATAAAAAATGAATGAAAGAAACATGTTGTTTAAATATGAAATCTGTTAGCTGGGCTACTTGATATATACAAAGTACCACATTCTATATCATCTGAGTACTTTTACATTTGTATATAACTCACATAAAATTCAGCTATACATTGTGTAGATCTGTATATAATATACAAAATCAGGAAACATTTAAACTGATATTTCTATAAAGATCATATTAACTGTCTTCAGATTCACTATCATTGTCTACTATAAATACATCTTAATTTTAACTTATAGGCTTCTTCCTAGCCCGGAGATTGCTGTATGAATTAAGATACCACTATCAATTCTTTCAGCTCAGGTTTTTGTCATTAAAAGCTAAAACAATAATTGTGGTATAACATAAAATCACAGCATTTATGGAATTTATCCAATTTATTTGAGTTTGATACAGATGTGTGTACATATACATGTGTATGCACCACACCCACACAATGATAACCTGTGTTGTACGTAAATGTATATCTGATCTGATGTAATGTACCATTATAATGTACGTATACAGTAAAATATGTCCATATTTAACAGATATGCAGCCACATTTATCTGTATCTGACTGAATTAAAATTATCGTAAACACATACATATTTCTACCTCGGCTTTCAACCCCCGGCGAACATGTACAATGAATGTACAGGTGCATCTATTATTTTCAAAAGCATTGTAATCATAGAGAACTTGAAGTTAATGATTATTACTTGTAATTATATTTATCTATAAAGACTTGTTAAATAAAGCAACAATATTATTGAAAAGATATATACACTGTGGCAACAAATATCATGGGAGAAATTAAGCTCCAAAGACCGTTTTGCTAACTTTTGGTGCTATAAATGTACTCAGATGATATAGAATGTGGTACTTTGTATATCGTGTAGGCCAGCTGACAGATGTAGTTGGTATTGAATAGTGGCAGTCTGCAGGTGACTTCTGTATTGTGGGAGGGTTAACAGAGACCTGAGATATGTAGATGTCAGATCCAGAGTGACATATGGGTGAAGACCAGACAGGAACTACAAAATGGAGCTGGGTGGCAGCTGGGGAGGTACATCTAGTAACCTTTACCCTGATAGATGACTTTGTGTAGCCAAGTACTTTATCTAAATAATACTTTTCTATTTTGCTGGTTAGGTTATTGGGTGATAACTCCAGCTGAGCTTGAGAAAATTAAATATATGGCGACCATTTTATCTGTCATTTTTACTTTTTTCTCTTAAATACTTTGTGACAGGGTTGATTGCTGCTGATCATATGAGCAGGTACAGTACATGTAGTTTGTTTGAGTGTCCATCTAGGGTTTGGAGGTCTCTGAATCAGGTCTCAAATCCCAGCCTGGCCATGCGCATTTGCATTTTCCCTTTCTTAGAGCAGTTCCATTAGGAACCCAACATAATGTACTCACAAAGTGTGGTATATGGGATCTAGTGTCTTTGGGGTTGATAAGTTTAAAAAGTTTGTTAACTTGAAGAAGGGAGAATCGAAACATGGAGGAACTGGACTTAATTGGTCACTGTTGACCGAGCTCACTAATATAAGAGTGGTTTGCATCCCAGTCTATAGCTAGCAGAGTGTTGCATTTTTCCTAATTTTCTGTTACAAATACACAAAACTTAAAGGAAAGAAAAAATATAACAGATTTAAGGAGCTCTGTAGTGCTTTCAATTCTACAGAAGAAGAATGTAAACATTCCTATACACCTATAGCTACTGGACATTGGTTATTTAAATTTCAGAATTATCTTCAGAGGTTTGCCAAAATATGTGCACATATATTTATGAATTGTGAAGTCATAATAGTTCAGTTACTTGGAGACCCCAAGATGGACAAAAGTGCTAGTACCTGTGTTTCTATTTCTGTTATATACATATAGATGATACTGATGGTATACATAGCTAAACAGACCTGGTACAGGTCTGGACCTGTTGTATCTGTATCCGACTTGGTCAGATGGAGGCCAGTTAATGTTCTTGTTTATGACAGAACCAGCTCTGTATAATTATACCTTAACAATCTACACAACTACCCACCCCACACATTACACCCCCTCCAGCACACCCTCATCAGCAATGATCAGGTTTCTACATTTTGTACAAATATTTTATAAAAGCTTACACAGGTTTATACTTCGTTATGAATTGCCATGGTAACCTCCCCCACCAGGTTGGGGAGTCAGACTGATAATGTCTGTGATGATGAAGAATGTGTTTTGTTGGGGAGATACATCAGGTATACAGTCAGGGCCTGCTGTAATATTTGGACTGTTTCTGGTCACACCTGTCTAAAATGACCACACATGTATGCACCCAGGACCTGCTGTAATATTTGGACTGTTTCTGGTCACACCTGTCTAAAATGACCACACATGTATACACCCTGACCTGCTGTAATATTTGGATTAGTTCTGACCATACCTCTCTATAATGACCACGCATGTATACACCCATGGCCCGCTGTAATATATGGACAAGTTACAGTCACACCTGTCTATAATGACCACACATGTATACATGACCTGTTGTAATATATGGACTAGTTCCAGTCATACCTGTCTATAATGACTACACATGTATACACCCATGGCCCGCTGTAATAAATGGACTAGTTCCAGTCACACATGTCTATAATGACCACATAATTATGTATACATGGCCTGTTGTAATATTTGGACTAGTTCTGGCCATACCTGTCTATATATACACACAGGCCCGCTGTAATAAATGGACTAGTTCCAGTCATACCTGTCTATAATGACCAAACAGGCCCGCTGTAATATATGGACTAGTTCCAGTCATACCTGTCTATAATGACCACACATGTATACATGGCCTGTTGTAATTTTTGGACTTGTTCTGACCATACCTGTCTATATATACATACAGGCCCGCTGTAATATATGGACTAGTTCCAGTCACACCTGTCTATAATGACCACACATGTATACACTCAAGACCTGCTGTAGTATATACACTAGTTCTGATCACACCTGTCTATAATGACCACATGTGTATGCATCCAGGGTCTGCTGTATTATGTGGACTAGCACGGTCACACCTGTCTATAATGACCAAACATCAGGAATACACAGAGCCTGTTTTAAAATGCAGACTGAATTCATATATGGTACCTTCAAATGTCATTTTAGTGATCACACTTTTACATGTATACATTTATATATATATATGGGTCAAAGAAGTAATATAGACGGTAAAATCCCATATAACACTGGATCCTAATGGAGGTATTACTGGGCCAGATTCCCACATGCACATGTTCCACGTTTTTATCTCGTCCCTTCTTTCTGGTGCCTGTCTCTCGTTGACTCACTTTATGTGATAGTGCATCTTGCGCAAGAATAGGTCCTCTACATCAGCGTTCCTTGTCCGCGATGCTCTCAGCTTAATTGCTGCCTTCGGCTGGCTTTAGCTGAGGGGACTATTGGTTTTATATAAAAGCTATATTTTCAATTATAATATATATCAGTTCTATCTTCTTGTAATATGATGTATATGTACATGTAACTGTTCTGTTTCACTGTGTCTTGATAAAGGAGCGGATTGCTCCGAAAATTTGACAACCTAAACTTGTCCACACTGTTGGAATTACTTCTTTGCCCCATATATATAAATACATACATGTATATGGTATTTCATCTCTACATAATGACCACACATCAAGTTAATTTATGCAGATTGCCAGTTACATGTTGTGTAAATTAAAGTATCTCTAAATCTTGTCAACAAATCAGGTTTTATACAAATAATGATCATGATTCTTTATAAATTGTGGATTGGGTCTTTCCACCTATCTGTAGTGATCAAATATAGCTATACATGACTGAGGGTTGCTGCAAAGCACCTGTTATGATCCATACATGTTTGTTTTGGTACAGTCCATCCTTTAGTGCAGGCCTGTGGGATGGTAGCCCAGACTCTGTACCTATGACTCAGGCAGTCTAAATTAGGTGGTAGCTAGTAAAGAAAGGGTTCCCTTTCTATTTCGCTGTATACATCAGTGTAATATACCACCTGTGTAGGGTCAGAAGGTTGGAGACTTACCACTGTGAGGATGTACCCCCGGGACCAGACTGTATAACACCCTTCTCATCCTAACTCCCTGGGAATATTGTCACTGTGCCCTACTATACTGGAACATGCCTTCAGGTTGGTGTCAGTCTTACCATTACTAAACCCTACAGTGCAGAATTTAACCAGTTTTCTAAATTACAGTTCTAACGCATGTTTAAAGATTATAGAAATTCATTGGATCATAATTTTACTGCCCAGCAGATGGACAGGACATTCAGATTTTGGTTGCTATTTACTTGTTTGTACAGTTGTATATAGCACGTGCTACAAGGCCATGTGTGAGATACCTTGTCATGATAATTGTAGGACTGTAGCTATATTAATTAACTGTCAAAGTTGTGGCTATTTTACACAATCTATAGTGAAATCTTGTAAATCTGGACAAAAGAATCAGACAGTTTATTTCTTTTGAGGTGACAGGTCTTTTATTTCTATTTTCTTAGGAGACATTTCTGTAATTTCAAATTTCTTTGTGTTTTTTTATGTAAGATTAAAACTTTAGACTTGACAACGTTTATTTCGTTCATCAGAAGAAGCAGATGCTTTATATCACATCAGGTTATAATACGTAGCTGTATGTATGTACAAGTATATACTTGGCTATATATTTATGATATAAGACATTGTACAGGTTTACAGCGCTGATGCTGTTGTGCATGTAACATATTTGATGTCGTAGACGTGGGTGTTGATAAAAGTCAAGATGATCGTCTTGTATACTCAAACAATGTTCCTTGTATGCTGACAAGTTTTCCTCTGCAGCAGATCTAGACATCTCACTCCCAAGTTGATTTCCCCATGAAAGATTGCATTGGTCCCTGTTTTCAGCAGATAATTGGCAGTTTTGTTTTGGTGCAACACACTTGTGACATCAACATTTTGCTGATAGTAGTTGGCTATAATTTCCAACCATGAGATATTTAAGGTGGTTATTATACATGTATACCCCATACCTACAACAAAACTTTAGATGATATACTGGAATCATCTTGTCTGTCTCTCTGTCCATGGATAGAATCTTATATATCTTCAACAAAGCTCGATATACATGATTGTGACATACCATGTAGTTGTACACCTGAGATTAATTGCCCTTTTTGGTACTTGGTCATAATAAGCCCTGTGTGGACAAACTCTCCAAAACTATGTGATAGTGAACAGTAACTATGTGATAGTGAACAGTTACTATGTGATAGTGAACAGTAACTATGTGATAGTGAACAGTAACTATGAAACTTTCTGGAGTGATATATATATATATGCTTCAGATACAAAAGGACAACTATTAATATATGGTATTCAAAATGGCCACCACAGTCTCTGATTGGCTGTGAAAATAATGTGTATAACTTAGTTCTATGGGGCCAACTTTATTTTACACTTTGTGGGATTAATGCATATAGGGGACATATAAAATCTATCAAAATGCTGGTTTTCAAGATGGCTGCTATGGGCTCTGATTAAAATTTGCTTAAACATTAACATACCTGCCAACCTCGGACATACTAAAAGAGGGTGATGACCCTCTTTTGGAAATAAAAAAGAGGGTCATAGTGCGCGACGGCTTTTCTCGCAACAAATATAAGAAAAAGAGATATTAAATTAGAACTTAAATATTTTAATGATGTTAAGTTACATTCTACATTCATTGAACTGTTCTTCCAGCAGATCTAGCTAATCCTCATCCACAATACCAAATTCAAAGCTGAAAAATAAAAAGGTTTGTCAACAACACAACTTATGAAATTAATTCATAATAATATATATGATACTGTGTTTCCACAGGCATTTTTTATGTCAATTAAAATGGTCCCGACAATAACATGTCACATTCTGCTCATATAAAATACCATTTTGTTTCTGTCAATGAAAATGGTCCTGACAATAAGAAGTTGTACCCTACTCATATAAAATATCAGTTTTATACGAGTAGGGTTTGAACTCTTATTGTTAGGATAATTTTGATTGACAAAAACAAATCATCAAATGCCTGTGCGTGTTTTTGAATGTCTTAGTAACGTCGTTTTAAGCACCAGATCAAACTGAAATATGCGATTTACAAAGACTAGAGTGCAGAATGCAGTGTTTGGTCCACGACCGCAGGACTTTATACACTAAAACTCATTTTCCTACGATATGTGAACAATTATCTTTTCTTCTAGCATTTCGTGTATACTATAGTCAGAGACGTATATGCAAGTCCCGAGCCGCAAGTCCCGATAATGACTTCTTTCTTCAAGAAGACATAATGTTACCTTCAAAATACGATCTATTCTACGTAAATACAATTGTAAAAACAACTCTATTATTTGTTAAAACACCTGACTAATGAGTTGCCAGCAAGTTCAGTAACAACGGTATTTGTATAAACATTTGGAAAAAACGTTCTAGTACGTATATAAACAACTCGCAACTTACCTGTTGGTGAGAAACGAAAACAAAAAATAGATCGTCTTTCTTATGAAGAAGGATGGAAAAGTCTAGAGAATTCCGAATGACTCCGGTAACTTCTAATATACGAAAAGATTCCGGGTGAAAACGGGTGAAATTGACGAAATCCGGGTCAAAATCGTAACCCGACGGGTGAAGTTTTAAAAGCGGGTGAAAGGCTAAAATCCCGGGTGTAACCCGACGAAATCGGGTCACTTGGCAGGTATGCATTAAATACTTCCAAGGACGGAGGAGAGAGAATGCCTGTGGTTTACAGTTCTAGAAAGGAAAAAGCTTAAGTTCATGCTTGTAGCCATCTTTTTCCAAAGGCACTATTATGTATACAGGGTATATTGATAGGGATATTATACACTTTATCAAAGTAATGTTCACCTACTGTTGTGACAGTCTGACAGGAAACATCTCCTGCTGGTAATAATGTATAAGTGGAATTTTGGGTCAGTTTTCGGTGTTCAGTAATTAAATGATTGGTTGATGTTGTGGCTAAATGGCACACAGTCAAACCTCATTAAGACAAAGACGTAAGGCTTGTAGTTATAATAATGTTGAAAATCGCTCTGATCTCAATTTCCAGAATTGAAGTGTTGAAGTGACCAAACAAGTTAAAAACCACCCCACAAATAAACACCATACAAAGTATATATGATGGTCCTTATCCCTTCACATTGAACAGAAGGCAATAAATGCATCATCAGATATTATGGCTGATGTATTGCAGAGAGTCTGTCTACTCAAGGGTTGCATCTAAGTTTGGCTCCTTGCTCCCTTTCAAGTATTTTAACTGACATGATTTATTATGTGGGCTTTTGCTGTTAGTCTTTGCATTTTGTCTGACACATTATTCAATGTGCGTCAACAATTTACATTGTTGAATTCTTCAGAACCACTGAACTGGTTGACTAAAAATCAGAACAAATTTTCTTTACAAGGTCCCAAAGAAGTGTTTTTACTGCTGATAAAAAAACCAAGATGGCTGCCCTGTACTCTGATTGGATTAGACCTTTTCAATTTCTCCTCAGGAATGGCTGAAGCAATTAACTTTAAACTTAGACTAAATGTTCATGAGTTCCCTAACAAGATTTCATGCTTGAAGTACTAATCTGAAAATACAAAAAGGGCAACCTGGCCTCAAATTGGCTGAGACATGTTCAACTTTTTATCAGAATGGGGATAAACTGATTGACTCTAAACTTGATACAAATGCTCCATATGAGGTTCCGAACCAGAGTTATTTATTTTGTGCCAGTCAGAAGATGGTCTCTCTGGCCTCTGATTGGCTGAGATATTTTCAATTTGAACTCATGAAAGTGTTAAGGCCCCTTGGGCCTCCTGTTTATTAAAAATGATGAGATTATGTCTTTGTAGTTTCTTGTTGAGCAGTGGTCAGCTGACGTCATGTTGAAGATATAAGTTTCTTGTTTGCGTGGGACTATAAATTATGTGTGAGACTCGAGCTCTCTGAGGTTCCTAACTGGTCACGATCAGCTTTACTTACCTATAGATTATGCGTGAGACTCGAGCTCTCTGGTGGTTCCTTACTGGTCACGATCAGCTTTACTTATCTATAGATTATGTGTGAGACTATAAGCTCTCTGGTGGTCCCTAACTGGTCACGATCGGCTTTACTTACCTATAGATGATGTGTGAGACTCGAGCTCTCTGGTGGTCGCTAACTGGTCACGATCAGCTTTACTTGCCTATAGATTATGTGTGAGACTCGAGATCTCTGGTGGTCCCTAACTGGTCACGGTCAGCTTTACTTACCTATAGATTATGTCTGTGAAGATATAAGTTTCTTGTTTGCGTGGGACTATAAATTATGTGTGAGACTCGAGCTCTCTGGTTGTCCTTATAACTGGTCACGATCAGCTTTAATTACCTATAGATTATGTCTGAGACTCGAGCTCTCTGGTGGTCCCTAATTGCGTGGGACTATAAATTATGTGTTAGACTCGAGCTCTCTGAGGTTCCTAACTGGTCACGATCAGCTTTACTTCCCTATAGATTATGTGTGAGACTCGAGATCTCTGGTGGTCCCTAACTGGTCACGGTCAGCTTTACTTACCTATAGATTATGCGTGAGACTCGAGCTCTCTGGTGGTTCCTAACTGGGCACGATCAGCTTTACTTACCTATAGAGTATGTGTGAGACTCGAGCTCTCTGGGGGTCCCTAACTGGTCACGATCAGCTTTAATTACCTATAGATTATGTCTGAGACTCGAGCTCTCTGGGGGTCCCTAACTGGTCACGATCAGCTTTAATTACCTATAGATTATGTCTGAGACTCGAGCTCTCTGGGGGTCCCTAACTGGTCACGATCAGCTTTAATTACCTATAGATTATGTCTGAGACTCGAGCTCTCTGGGGGTCCCTAACTGGTCACGATCAGCTTTAATTACCTATAGATTATGTCTGAGACTCGAGCTCTCTGGTGGTCCCTAATTGCGTGGGACTATAAATTATGTGTTAGACTCGAGCTCTCTGAGGTTCCTAGCTGGTCACGATCAGCTTTACTTACCTATCGATTATGTGTGAGACTCGAGCTCTCGGGTGGTCCCTAACTGGTCACGATCTGCTTTACTTACCTATAGATTATGTGTGACACTCGAGCTCGAGCTCTCTG